AAATTTTCCAATACATAGCTTCTCTTAAATTTTATTCTTTACATAATCTCCTTTTAGTTAATCGCTCATTTTGCTCCTGTGTTGTGCCCTTGCTTTGGACTGATCCATTAGAAAAAGCACGTTCTGACGATGACCGCTATAAAATCATTGATATTTATCTTTCATGTTTGAATAAAGAAGAGCAAATAGAGTTAGATAAGTTGTTAATCAAGAATATAGTGATTAAAAAACAGAAAGAACTTTTGTTTCTATACGTTAATTTCTTAAAAATATATTCTTATTATGAGTTAAAACATGTTGGTGTTTTTATGTGGTGTCTAAAAAAAGATATATTGTCATTGAAACCCCAAGTTTTTTTACTCATTCATAAAATGATTGTTCGAGTCTGCCGCTATATTAAAGAATTAAATATTTCAACAAACACCTTCGATGCTGAATGGTTTGTAAATTTACCTAGACCTTGGTTTCCTCAATCAACCATAACTAGTTTGGATATTTCATTTGGCTTCTTCCCTTATGCATTAAATGAAAGTATCAGTCAGTTAATCAGAAAAGCATTCCAAGAACTCAAAGAAATTCGTGTTATAAAAGCGTCTTTTGGAAATGGAATTAATGAGGATAGTAAAGAAGCAATGCAAGAATTAATTGACACTCAATCTGAATTAAAAGAATTTCAATTGAATTATTCTATGATGCTAAAAGAAGAAAATTTATCAAAAGCATTTATTATATTGCCAACATTACACAAAAACTTATATAGATTAAGATGCTATTATTTTCACTGAAAATGATTTAAAAAATATAGCAAGTTTGCCTAATTTAAAAATTTTAAAAATCGAAAACTCCTCTTTTAAAGCAAAAGATAAAGAAATCATTAGCACTTGCTCGCTAACGAAATTGCAAAAACTAAAATTGAAGAATAATGAACTGGTAATAAACAAGTTTTTAGTTAGTATGAAATGTGAAACTTTGAAAATTCTTAGCATTACTTTAACTAATTCGCAGATCGAAAAAAATGATGTTAGCAA